AAAAAAAAATAAAAATAAGTAATAATTGACAATGAACAATATCAAGTAAATATTTTCGAATTATTTTTTTTCAATATTCGAACATGTTGCTAAAAAAGTGAGGAATAAGCGCAAGGAGTATGCTGGCACATTTCATTTAAGCCCAACAATTCTTAAATTACGTAATCATTCAAAGTGATTCAGTCACACAGCGATCACATTCCTTGCTAGCGGCTTTTCTGTTCCTCAGAGATGAGAATTGAATTTTTTCCAATCAGAGTTGGGGAACTATTTGCATGGCTAGCAAGGAACACAGTGTTGAGAAAACCAATATAAGCTCATGTCTTAAGATGGTTATATCAGCCAGTAGATCTAGAAAAATAAGGTTTCCCCTACTAGATCAAAGCGATTTCTACAAACCATTTGAGTCCTATGATTCAGTACATCCTGAATCCTATTGGAATATTTCGGTTTCTGCTGCTCCTGTCGTGGCCGTGGTCACGATGAAAGCACTAGAGGGCGGGGCATTCGATGCAGGATAAAAAGGGGTGATTCACGTATAGGCGAATCTTGTCATTCATGTTCTTATTGAATGTCTCTATCGTCAATAAATCTGATTGTGCTCCATGTTCGCTTTGATGAGAATGCAGAACCAACTTCAAGTGGAACTCCAAGCGAGTACGAAAACGGTGCATCGCTGGGAATCGAACCCGGCAGGCGAGCATTCTACCACTGAACCACCGATGCCCCGTCCCCTCAGCTGGAGCTGGCTGAGCAAAATTTACTCAAAAAACGTCCCCTGCAGGAACAAACTTGGACCGTTAAGGAGATAGGGAAGCAGCAATAAATGAGAAAAGGGACAAATGAATTTAACGTCAAAACGGTTCGAAGGATTTTGCTTAACTTTTCGCATAGTCTCCGCAATCATATGAACCTCAGGAAACATCGATCACTTTTTCAGTGGCTGTCACCGCTCTACCAAGCATGGATCCCAGAAGTTAGGTTATTTATTTGTTTACTTTCAGTGATCAATTCTGTTGATTTATTACGTTCCATCGCACCAGACATAATATAGAACACGATAGCAATTAATCCTTCATGAGAGCGTGGTTTTAGAGATTAGAGGTAAAAAGAGATGTACGTAACAATAAGTGAACGTGAATTAAAGTAAATCGGATCGAACTCGCCTGGCGGACACCATTTTCGGTAAATAGGATATAGAAACCAAAAAGTGCCACCCATATATAACCCAGCTCAGATGATGCGGCCATGGTCAGGCTGGTGGGGCCTCGAAAAGTTCGGCTCCCAGAGGGTGTGAACGATTAGCGCAACACTACGTTGTCGAAGGAAGACGTTCTTCTGGTCTCTTATCAGGTTATGCCGATTTTCATATCTTTAGGCATTAAAACGTTGTCGGACGGGGACTGAATTGCAATTTCGGTCGCATAGAAACCCTTGATCTCAACCATATTGGACACTTTGGCGGCACACCATGGCGGCTGATACGACATTAGATCTGAAGAATAAGGGAAGATCGTGAAGCATTTACGGCAGAAATATCCCAGTATAACGGAGTTCAGTACAATTATAAGATATGACAAACTGCTAGAATTTCAACTCGACAATGCTCCCGGATCTACAGCAAGTACTTCGAGACAAGCTTTTTGAGTGAGCTCCTCATAAACTACTTTGACTTCTTTCCTCTCTACGTTGAAATCGTTTCCCCCAAACGAGGCAACACGTCCTGATAAGATAATGTGTCGAGCTACAAAGCCATTTTACAAAGGGCATCTGGACGTTCTCTCAAATTCTCAGGTTTTGAGGGTTGCCAAAACACTATAGAATGAGTTTTTCCAATAAAGGCAATAGCGATTCTGCTGGAAGCCGACCACGATTTAGCAGAATGTCTGTCTTTAATTATTTTTAAAAGTTGATGTAACCTCTCGAAACACTGGAGATCAACCTAAAACTTTATGAATATGCTAGAACGTATGGCAACAAACAATGAGATAACGAGAACAGTGAAACGGTGAAACGTAAAAAAAGGTCGAAGCATCACATTATGGCCGAATTTGAGTGTATACAGTATGCTAAACTCTACCTGCTACCTCAAAAGTAGTAACGAAACGTACGATTAAATCCTTAGATTCCAATACAATAAAAGACAATGAGCTTGATACATCGAACAGTAAACTTTGAACTAAATGAAAACACACCCACATACAAACGATAAGTACTCTGACATCAAATTTTGAGAAGATATCGAGAGGATTACAGGATGCGAGGCGATACGACATCACATAAAACAAATCTTATTTTAGAAATTCAATAACAAGCATTTACGAGATGGGAAACAAATGTATACCGGTAACTTCGCCTCGTAAAAGTACAAAGCGTTTCCGCGGTTTCGTAAAGACGACGACGAACGGAAACATTCGGTGTCAACTTGGTTCAGTGGCACGTTCAATGATGAACAGCCATCAGTAGCATCTTAGCTGACTGTGCGACACTGTACGCTGCATGGCAGGCGTCTTCAGCGTCCAGTATTGGAGCGTTACATTTTGCACTCAAAACCTAATGGAGATTGAATTACAAATACACCCCAAAAGTACCAGGAAAACTAATTATGTAGTTTTGAACATTCCAACAAAAATATTTGAATCGAAAGAGCGAAGTTGAGCACGCTAATCACATTCGGGGATTCGAAATAAGGAGGTTTGCCGATTATAAAACATTATAACCGCTATTCCCATCCATGCCTTTTACTTTTTCCGAGAGAGGGCAAGTGGGAAAAGGTTAAGCTATGGATGGAAATCCCGAAAGGGACGAACTATTAGAGGGGAAGTTCACCATTCGCCTAACCCTGAGCCTGAACTCGCCTTCTTAAATCTTTACTAGCATCATCTAGGATGAGCATACAACATACATGTTGGAACTCCTGCATTAATCGATGTCTCAAGTCCCGTTTCTAGCATGTCTCTTTGGCTAACAGATCTAATTTATCAGTGACGAAGCCTTTTCTGCTCCTTACTCTCCTGAGAAGGTCAGATATTGTGCTTTTCCGAAGAAATACAATGGCCAGCATCCATCATTTATCCATCTTTTCAGTGAATAAAAAATAAGACCCAAAAATTACCATAGTTGCATCCATGAGACCAGTTACAGCTTGTTCGGTTTTTCCAATTCGTTGCTCTCGTGGAATCAAACATATTATATGGTTGATGAGTGAGGCTATCTGAAACAGCGATGAATCTATTGACGACCCGACATACATTAGGTGAAAGAATTGGAGAGCAAAAGCCCACATAAATGATCAAGACTCTCAAACTTCACAGGTTATATGATTAGCAGCAAAACTGTCCCGGGAAATGAACTATTCGACTGAAAATGGCTGGTTTCCACTCCCATACAACTAGGTGGATAGTCTCTTAGGTCTCCGCGTCATCTTATGACGCTGGCTGAATGGAGTAGGGATTGTTGAGAATCGACGTCTTCATTATTACATTATATCGACTGGCTACCTATGGCATAAACTACTACAGAGTCTATATCGCCGTTCATTCACATTAAAGTGGCCTTATGCCCTCTTGGACGTTTCATATATAAAACTTTATAACCAGAATAGACAAGGCCGGACCAACTTGAAAACCAATCTCTACGTATCATTAAAATATTTTGAACAGCAGGTAAGACAAAGCATTTTTTAAAATTTTTTTTTGAAGAATTAGTATAAAAAACTACTCAGTAAACATTACTTTATGGGCGTGGTCACTAGAACGCCCGTGTAACTGTTTGTGTTGAGCATCTGTGAGAAGTGATCGAATTGCCACGGTGAGATTTTCCGTCTCGCGTATGAGATTATCAGGAAACACTATAATCACAGGCCATCCATAAGTCTACCTCGAAAACCTTTCGGATTTATCTGCATGGTGCTATGCTTGCACTTACTCGGCTCGCTAAACGCTTCCTGCACTTTAGAAGCAACGACCTGCGGAGCAGGCGTTATTGAGGCATAATCTGTTGAATCTAGGTTGCGGTCCCGGTTCTCGCGAGATCGTAGCTTTTCTCGTGAGCTATCACGAGGTTCGTCGCGGTCCCTGAAAACTTATTAATACAAAACAGGAAACCGAGGCGCTTTCTTGTCTCTGTCTCTTTCAAAGTATAGAAGCTTGAGATCGGAGTCGCACTCCGCCATATTCATTTCCCTTGCAATCCCACCCCACGGTGCATAATGCATGTTTCAACTCTAATAACTTTTCACCACATGCCCTGTCCTTAATCGACACTGTAGCAAGATTGATGCCAATGCCCATAGCAGACTTATTCATCATAAATTTGTCATGCACAACAAAGTCGATTCATGAAAACAGACAGAGAAATTCATAAGTGTCAAATTAAGGAAAGAACGCCCGTACATCGGTTGCGGCGCACTTGGCTTGGGGTAATACCCTTTAAAGCCAGTGCAACCTGAGCCTGGGAGATGCTAACAAACTGCAGAGTAAAATCTAATTTCTGGTTTCCTGATATGGGCTTGCTGTGCGGTCCTCAGCAATCGCGAAAATCGATCAAACCTGTGGTTCTCGGCGCTCTTTCTTCCGCTTGGCACCATACGAGAATAACCAGGGGTTGCACCACTCATACTTCCGTGACGTTTGGCTATTCTTGACTCAGCTTCTGAAATGTACAGTAGTCAAGAAAATTCGTTCAATGGAATTGTTAGCTACCAGAACAGTTCGAAAAAGGTCATTGAAGCATTTTGAAAGTAAAAACTCAGCAGCCATTACCTTGACCATCTCACCAAAATCCTGCTCTATATGAAAACACTCACCTATCGGTGGACGCCCAATCCGATCACTGCGGTCAACTCCCACCGAATGTGCACGCTCAACAATATGATTTGCCGTCACATGAGGAACGGTGGCTGGGGACGGTAATCGCCTCAATAGGGCCGCTTGCTCGGAAAGACGAACAATCTGAGATCACATGAATATAGACTTTAAACGAACGATGGGTAAAAAAGCCGACTGACTTCATCCTTCAAGCAAGTATTCTCAACCCTCATGTGCTCCATAGAGTTCTGCAGGTTCGTGAGAATCCTTAACGAAAAAGTGCTGTGCCCAAGAAGGTAATTTTGGCTAGTGAACGAATTTAAAGGGAGGCTTAAGAAGTTGGGAGGAAATCAAAACTTGCTTCATTATTTGCGTATTGGTGTGGCAAATAGAAGTCAGCTTGGTTTCATTCTCTGTCATTCGTTCTTTCAACTCCAGTACATCGTCTATGGATACACGCCCATCGATCGCAGCATCTATCGAGGAGGTCGACCGGGTTTTGTTCCCAGATGACCTCCTAAGAAAGGAAATCACCTTCCATAAGAACATTTTTAAGCACAAATAAACTACCTTGTCGCGCCACTACTGCGAAGTTCACCTGCTTTGCCAGGGAAATCGGCCACTTCATCATAATCCCTATTAAATTCGCTGGAGTCTATTCGCGTGTTACTAAACTCTGCTAGTCTGTCTGATTAGGCCTTCATCAAAATGATTCATAACAGAGTGCCAACCTAGATATGTTGTGAAGATTAGTGGAGGTGTCCAAGTTGTCCTGTGAAAGTTCGGGAGGTAGACCGAAATAACGTCGTTTTGCCTCCTGAAAACACGTAGTTGTGCACGAGAAAGAAAAGTATGAAGAAGCATCTAAGCATTTGAAGACGAGCAGAGAAGAAATAAAGAAAGCGCTTTATTACGAGCCCTGAGCATGTGGCGAGAAACGATCTATGAATGCATCATAAATAAACAGCTATTACTGAGAAAAACTTTCAATTTAAATAAAAACAACATTTCATCCGAATGGTTCGGGTGAAAGGTCGCGGAAGATCCCTAACACACTAGTAAAACGCTTCTCTATTCAGTAATCAAAAACGTTGGATAGGAAACTAACAGTAAGGAGACTGTACTCTGCATACGTTCGCCCACAGACCTCTCATCTCAATGATTGATAAACGAATCAAACCGACAAATGAATCAAACGCAAAGCAGCGACTAAACCAACCTTCAGTACGTCTATGATGAGAGTAGCAAACTCTCTAACGTCGTATTTTGCAAGTTTCTGCCTGAGCTGGTTTCTTGTGGCAGAAAATGAGGTATTCAACTAAACAAACATGCACTTTACGCGTAATGAAATCTGCTGAGTGTGAAGTCACACAATGAATCTCACTGAGAGTAAAAGAAGTGAAATGAACGAACCGGAAGAAAAACAGCCACACATTGTTCATTACCCGACGTTATCTTGCCTTGATTCATAGCCATCCAGGCTGCCTGAGTTTCCCGTCGATCAACCTGGAACGTTTAACCTCGAGGCGGCACTTTATCGATTGAACTTATAGACCTTTTCGAGAACAAATATAGCAATAGTGAGATAGAGTCAATGAACACGAAAATCTCCCAAGTAAATTGGTGGACCTACCCACAATGGACGTGATTGCCACGAAAAGGGCCAAAATTGAGAAAGTGCTGTTATTTTCTAACTAACCTCATCATAAACGTCTTGCAACAGTTTCTCAAAGGCACAGTCAGGTAGAGCCTGGATCTTCAACCGAACGGATCGCAATGTTTCAACGGTATTTTTGGCAGTAAGTTCAGGAATGAGGAAGTGCTGCTGATGCTTGAAAGTGTACAATTAGATAAATACATTACATATACATTGAATGAAGATCACTTCCAAAATCACGAACAGTTCAAACGAATGGGCATAAAAATTGCGGAGTAAACTGAAATAGAGAAAAGCCTGACTTGGTGATCTGGCTTTCGACCGCAAAGGAACAGCGACAGCCTGTTAGTCAAATCAAACGACAGCTCATCGAGGCGATTAGCGAGGTCGACCTACAAATAATAATCCTGACCCACATAGATGAGCGAAAAGGGAGTAGCCTGCACAAACTGACAATGGAGCAGTACGAGATTCAAAAACAATCACACATGGTACATACAAAACCGTCCTGTCGAGCAAGCTGTGCCGGAGTAAGATCAGCAGCGTTACTCAGCAAAGGATCCGCACCATAGATGTACAGGAGCTCGACCTTAAACAAATTCGCAACCAAACGCTTTACGCTCAAACAGTGAAGAAGCCATAGCAAAAAGCTTCGAGTTCTTTAAGAAAAAACTGCTATGAATGAAAACATGAAATGAGACGCTCCACTCATGTGATTCCCTTCAAGAGAAAAGGAACGGTGGCTGCAAATCCAGGAACGGCAAGCACGACTTAAATTCACCATGACTTACGGACACGAAAGAGTTTTCTTAATGATAATAAGCGATTTCAGTTCACAGATTCTCCAGCAATGTGCAGTAAAAGCAGCAATCATTACCTGCATTGCCTGCCCTTCCTTCGCTGCAACATGAAGCGGACTATTCCCTTTTTCAGTGTCCACGTAATTGACATCGGCTCCCATTGCTAAGAGCCTGAAACGAAAATCCCAGCTAAAGAGCGCGTGCCATCACTTCTATAATTACAATAGAAAAATAGTGCACGATAACGGAATGCCCATGGCTTAGTTTTCCTATGCATACTGCACGGTTACCAAACAACCTTGAAATTCTCGAAGCTGTTGCAACAAGAGCTGAAAAAAACTCGCGAAAATCGCGGAATCGTTTGCTCTCGAAGGTGGTGCAGAACTCGTGTTAAGCGAAGTTCAAATATGATAGTGCTATTATTTATAATAACTAACCTTAATGTCGTGTCCACATGCGCTGTACGAACACACGACCATAATTGTTTGTTGACGTCGTCCAAGCTCCATGGCTCGTCATCCTTACTGGGCCTTCGGATAAAAGCATGGTCAACGTACTTTGCTTTGATGAAGGCTTCCTTCGTAGGTAGTACTGGATCACTGCAAACAATAGATGTCTGACAACGTATCAATGAACAAAGAAAAAACCGGCACCTTCTTAGTAATTTTGCTGCAAAGAAAAAGATGCTGTGTCAGCACTTTGTAAATATAATAATACAAGTATAAGTGTGCAAAGGTAAAACAAGTAAACGAAAGTCTTATTGGACATAATTACCAAAGAGATACACAAATGAGCTGGAAAGCTTTAACAGCAGAGCTTATGCAAAATTTATACTATGATTGATGTGAAAGATTGCGCAAACAGGGCACCACTACTGATATGCTATATTTTAATATCATGGATTGAGGAGAAAGCGAGCTTTTTTTCAAAATACGGACCTCACCATCTCTTTCATTATCTCGGGCAATCAATAAAATGGTCTCTGCCTAACACAAGTATAACACTACATACTCAGTTTGGGACAAAAATGGTTGCAATAAATACAAGAGACGTGGAAGAACTTTCAGTGGAAATACTTTTATTCTGTGTAAATTACAGATAAAACTGAACTACGACGAGACTTACTGAGGTAATGGTTTCCTTTTGAATTTCGAGGAAGAAGCTGGATCAAGCATTGCGTGCTCCCATACACGGTTAGAACCAGTTCTGCAAATACACAAATATAATACAACAAAAATATGTCTCATAGATAACAAAAGACAAAACAAGAAAGAAGAACCACTTGTGTAGTAGTTTGACGAGTTCCAGCTGTGGTGTATCCCACATCCCTCGGTTCAATGAACGTACTTGTGAGTATTGCCGCCCTAAAAATTTCAGCTTTCACAACGAAAGACAATTCGTGGAAACGTCTTATCCCTAGAATTGCAGATTTTGAATTGTGTGATCATGGCTAGCGTGTGACTGAAAGTAAATTTGCTCAACCACCCGCAGATTCGCAATACAAGCAACTCGGTACGAAAGTCGACATAATCATGGCGTTTTCTTTGGCATGAATTACTGACTTCTCTCTTAGATCAACTGGCAATCAGAGATTATTTTGAGAGTGAATGGGCAACGAAATCCATGTCAATACCTACCCAAATTTCTGTGTACAGAACAACAATCGTTGCATATTAGGACACCGCGATTAATTGAGGCCCATTGAGGATCGTCAGCACTACAGTCAGCACACTGAATTATCTCCACACTCGATGCATGTGCTAAATAAACAGAACTAAGTAGTGAAAAATATTTTTGGACACACCGTGCCTTATAAGGAATGCCATAAATAAAAAGAAAAAAAATTAGAAACGTTGCGATGCATACCTATCGGTGAAAGCACAACAGCCGACGAATCCATACTGAAAATGCAAAAGTTTTTCAAAACCTCAATTCCGCAATTACTGGACACGGGATGTCAACGAGCATCAAGGGTCAAAATTTGCTAGTAAAATTACAACCGAATTAACAAGTTATAAGAGAAACTGTTCTTCAAAAGGAAACGATCAGATATAAACAGAAAACAGAGACTTGAATTGACAGGCCTGTGTATTTCAGATAATGTATTATTAAATATGCGAAACTGCCCATACATTTGTAAATTACAACACGCAAATATATGAGCACAGCAGATAAAACCTTCATCAATTCTTATCCTCCAGCAGAAACGGTTTCGGATTTAGTTGCAAGCGGAGTGAACACGAACTCAACGAGAGCAGAAATGATAGTTGCAAAAATGCGGAAAGCTAAAGATTTATGCATGGAAGACACTGGACAATCAATAGGAGACACGGACAGTTCAGAAATTTTTCCACTGATCGATAACATTCGCCGAACATGCGGCAACTGTTATAAGTAGCAGCCGGGAAGCCTGTTTGCTCGAAATCCCACGGCCTCCCGGCTAAGCGAGGCGAAGTTCGCCGACGACAGGCTGCTCACCTGCTACAAAGTGAAAGCACGTCAGATCCTATAGATGGACCGATCGATGACGTCATTTATTGGACAAAAATCTTACCTGGGTTACGGGATATGACTCAGTGACGGTGTCACCAGGAGGAGGCAACAAAGGTCCTCCAGCTTGCTGTGACAGGCACAGCTTATTAAGCAGTTAAGCTTAATTCATCTGATTCTGCATATTCTTGGAACTTGAATGATGGATGGTGAAGGACAAAAAAGCATCTTTAACTCAGGGTAAGTGGCTTGATCATGCTTTGTTTTTTCTTCTAAACATCACCTGGTGCTGGAACTTTTTCCCTTTGCTAAAGTACGTAATGAACTAATATTTAAAATGTTACTCTAAGTGATGGTGTTCGCGCGAGGACGTCAAAAAATAAATGGAGAAAGATAGAGCAAAATATAATGCATGGATTATTGTTGCATAGCAGTTCGACTTAGGTTCAGAGGAAATTCTGTCCTCCTCGGGATGCGCTCTTATTTTCTTAAGCGCGGCAAAACTCGTCCAAGAGACCTTTGGTCTTTCATCGTATCCTCTTTGCTAGGCTGTTGCAGTGTCGTGTAATTTATTTGAAAATGCGAAAATAATTACGGAAAGATACGTACGTATAATCATTGTTAGAAGGTACAGGTTAAGTTTTCTAGGAGAAGCAAAACATCATATGGAGCCACTCGTTTATAACAGCATAAATTTTCTGTTTTCTGAGAGATCTTTACAAAGTTCCTCTGAGAAGGTTCTCTTTGAGGTCAAAGCAAAGGTTATGAGCATTTTGAGGGTATTTACAATTAATCGTTTCCAGAGAACAACGTGAAAATTCAAGGCGTATACAACAATTTTACAAATAACTTCTCTAGAAACACAAAAAACAGCTACCAAACTACCAGTCAACACTGTTTTATCCGTAAGGCCAACGAGTTTCTGATTGTTAGCCTACAACGCGTAATGAGAACAGTGCAATTTGGTAGAGGATGCATCGTTATCAGTAAGTCAAAGCTAGTCTTCCGGGGAAGGACGGAATCGTCGGCCGCCGGGTCGTCGCAATCGGACGTCGTCTCAACTCGTGGAGACGCAGACGACAGACGGACCACATCGTTGCCGCCCTGGTTTCGTTCAGAAACGGGACAGCAGTGGTGATGTCATTCTCCAAAATGTCCTCTATATAGCGCATACTTTTCTGGAATGTTTAAATTTACATCTTAATCACAGATGTCCGTTCCAAATTTTCATGGCGACAGCGTCGATGAACTCACGTTTCTCTCAACGCTTCTATTGGTTTTCTGACCTCATTATCCATATTTCTTCTCTTAAATTGCGTACATTCTAATGTAAATGAAGCCACTTTTTGTTAAAATAAGCAGCAATGCATGTTGCATTAACTTAAAGTGACCTCGATGAGACAGAGCATAATCGAGACAAGCTCTAAGCTTGTTTTCGTGCAGTCGCCAATTTCAATTGTAGCTCCAATCAATCTTCTGAACATGTCTTCTTTCCAGTGAACAAGAATGATAACATTCACTAACTTCTCTTGTTTTGGCCGACGAGATTTCTCAAGTGGTGGACCCCGAACCAGAGAAACAATCGTGACGAATCATAACAGCTATTCGCAGTCCAGTACTTCAACTCTTCGCCGTTCTGCTCAACTGCAGCCTTTTAATATGGAAATTCCGAAAAACCTCATGTCATTTGAAGTTCTGTTCGCGCAGCTTATAACCTACTGCACCGTATATTCCCATCGATTTTCGCAATGATGATTGAATATAATTTCTGCAAGTTCTCTCCCAATATAATTTCCTAGACAGTTCCCGTCTTTTTTGGCTATCGACTGAACTCATCCCCGTTGTGATTTCACCTCCAAATAACAAAAGTCTTTTGAAGTCTCCTAGAGAACATTTCTGACTGCTATAGTAAGAATATTTTGCGAGCTTCTAAAGGTGATCAATGAAATTCCGATGACAAGGAGAGATCTTATCGATTTGTCGGCTGCGATCCTGTCAACGTTAGCGATAGCGCGTATGACTACTCCGGAGCATGCATTGCCAAGAAATATAGTGCGTAAAGAAAAGAAATCTTTCTGTGCTGTTTGTGAATTCATTGGACCACTTTCTCGGCTTCTTTTTATGTGAGGAACGGATTGGAGAGGAATGGGCTGTGTGCGATAGAACAAGTCGTGAGAGAAGAGGCAGTCTGCGCGCATAACAATCGCTTTCTATATTGATCACGAAGCACCTCATTCCTGTACCTCATTGCAGTAACAAGTAGCCCGATTGCTGTAGTCTGTAAATGATAGGCAGCTGCGTTCAACAGTCAGACTTTCTTCTTTCAGACAAGTTCTTCTATATAATTAATACTCATTTTTTCTTGTTTAGCACTGGAAGGTTCATGGAAGTGAAGTGTAACAAGTGGGATTAGTGGAACTTGTAATATAATATGAAAAACGTAACAAATTAACAAGTAATCAAAGTGAAGTAAAAGATGGCTTGTTCCGCCTCTTCACCGAGCTGCTATTTACGAACCACCCGTTTCCACCTTCCCCTGAGACTCATCAGTGGTTTGGGGTCAGTTGAGAAAGAAGTGGGTAGAATGCATAGTTCGAAACTGTAAAAAATAGGTTTCTTCCTATTGTATGTGTATACCTCATGAAGTCTTAAAGGTCCGAGGTTTTCAAAATCCATTGTAGTCAGCGGCTTTTATTTGGAAAGTCGACATCGATATGTTCGCTGAAGAACAAAGCGCATAAGTGTTTTTGTTGTATTCTACGGCCGAAAAGTGTAAATGATCCCTCTGGGTGTCAGAGGAAAGGTAGTAATATTCTCACTCGAGAGTGATTCCGCCCCTTCAACGGCCTTGAAAAACAAGAATAGTTTCCTCGGATATAACAGTATACGCTGTTATAGACTCACTTATCTTTTATATACTATATATAAACCACAAGTTTGGTGTGTCTGTTTGTCTGTTTGTCTGTTTGTCTGTTTGTTTGTTTGTCCGTCACGAAATTCGGTATCATCTTAAGAAGCGCCTGAAGAGATCGGGACAAGTTCGGGATGGGTGGAGCCTAAGATGAGATCAACGGAGCACATATGAGCTCTGCGGAGCTCCCCCCACAGGGGGCGGGGCAGGTGCCGGAATGGGCGGTGCGAATAGCCAAACATCTTATTTTGGTTTCTAAAAAGGTCCAGACACCGGGAAAAAATGTCGAAAGGTGAAAATTGGGTCAACAAACCAGACGGAGGAGGCACGCGTGCTGTGGGCGGAGCTTTCTCAAAATGGGCGGTACTTTTTAGATGTATTCATAACTCGATTCAACTGAGGCGCAGAGGCCAGGAAAAAAGATAAAAGGTGTGAACAGGGCCTTATGCGTGTTGGGCATGCGTAAGCTTAGCGAAACGCCGCCTACGGTGGGCGTGGCGTGCGTTGGGACGAAAGACACTCTTCAAAGACGAATGTAACTTCGTTCGAATACGTTCTAGAATGCGGGAAAAAAGTGATTAGAGGTAGTAGAACANGTGGGTGGGGTTGACACCGAAGTGGGCGGGGCTTAGATCGAAAATTCATAACTCTATTCAGAAACGTTCTAGAATGCGGCAAAAAAGCGTCAAGGTGTAAAAGGACAAGTGTGGTCAAACTCCAGAAGTGGGCGGGATTGGCACCAAAGTGGGCGGAGCTTAGATCAAAAATCTATAACTCTGTTCAGAAACGTTCTAGGATGCGGCAAAAAGGCGTCAAGGTGTAAAAGAACAAATGTGGTCAAATCCCAGTAGCGAGCGGGGTTGGCACCAAAGTAGGCGGAGCTTGGACAAAAATTTATAACTCTGTTTAGAAACATTGCGGGATGCGGGAAAAAGCGGTACGATGTAGTGGAACAAATATGTTCAGATTTCACAAGTGGGCGGGATTGGCAGTGAAGTGGGCTTACATCAAAATTATTAAGTCTCTTCAGATGGTTTTAGAACGCGGGGTTCAGACTCCACAAGTGGGCGGAATTGGCAGTGGAGTGGGCTTACATCAAAATTATTAAGTCTTTTCAGATGGTTTTAGAACGCGGGAAAAAGGTGTCTTGAGGTAATATGTGGTTCAAAGTCTGAAGCGGGTAGGGTTTGCAAAGAGGGGAGGGGCTGGGATCAAAAATTGATACATCTGTCCTTCAGATCATTCCTGACTACATAAGTGTACAACTAGGGGATACCACTAAACTCTTTCGAAAATTAGGCTAAAAATTTTCTAAAAGTTAGTATCCATGGTTCCACGCACAGTAGTGCCTTCTACACAAGAGAAAAAGCGTGTAAATGTAAATGTAAAGAAGTGTATATCCCCACAAATACTTATAAAGACTTTTTTCCGAAGTTAGTGTTCATGGCCACACACATCCCAAACTACACAGGGTTTCTTCGACTACATGGACTGCAGAGGTATTTAATTTGGATACATCAGAGTACTCTTCATGGCCACATACATACAACCCGATTTCACACCAAAAAAAAATGATGGCCGCTACAGAGGTGTCAGGGAAGAGGCTCAGATGATAGTCTATAGTAAAAATCAGAAGCTTCAGTGGCTCCGGCCCTCATGGCTAGAGGCCCTAGCGCACGCAGTAGCGTGCGTGGCTGCCTGGTCTTTTATATTTTGCATAATTTGCTGATTTTGTGGTCGCATTCTTTGAAAGGTACAGACCATCTTGTAGCTCAGTTTAGTGAGTGTTTATGTTCCTGTAGGATTATCCCGACAGATCTCTTAACTGAGGGATTTCTCTCACTGAAGGTACTAGCCGATTAGCGACGAGGCTACGTAGGGCGGCCCCAGGTGGCGTATAGTAGGAGGAGTCGCTGGCCAAAAGTTGTTTGTACATGCCTGGAGACGCAGGTGTATTCAGGGAATGGACTACCTGTTGCTGCTGTGCTAGGTCAATATACCCTCTGTATCTCACAGGTGTGTCCACGCATACGTGTGTGGAGAGTGCGGTTGCAATTGGTATCCTGCCCATCGACTCAGCCAAAAACGTGGATTCGAGTGACTGGGAAGCATCGGGGGGTGATCTAGGGCCGC